CGAATTTAGACCGACAACGCTTGACAGGTGATATATAGCCTTTGTGATTTCATAATTACTGAGACAGGGGACATGCGGTCTTCAAGTGTCAAGTTCTCGAGATACAGAGGGTGTGAAAGTAAAGAAATAAAAATAGTTATTTCGCAATTATATTTTGTTATATCTCTGATGTAATCCTTTCTCGGTATATTTAACATGAAACAACTACTTTCCTGGGTATATGTCATCATGCCGAACATTTAATTATATCTATTGCACCCACACAATGAGAATTTTAAAATGAATCATCTGAAGTTGCACTCTCCTTCAGATAAAAATATGTATGCACATATAATATAATATCATTCTGAATATTCAACAGGAAACAACTACTCTCCTGGCTATTTGCCACATCGAACATTCTGTTTCTGTTGAACATCCAGAAGGAGAACATTATAACAAAAATCCTCTGAAATTGAGAAAGAATATTCTCATTCAAATCGGATAAATAAGGTCGAAATAGTAACTTTCGTTTTTCCCTGTATAATGATAAAGTCATAAGATTTTCATCAAAACTAATATTTTGGCTAACATTCCAGAACGTCAATCTACGATTTGATCGGAAGGATTAAAAAAGTTACTGGGTGAATAATTTGAGCAAATTTTTTGGTGGCCAGTGTTTTTTGACCCGAATGATGGTCATGCACCTAGATGCAATATTAAAAGACTCTAAAAATATTGAGTGAGATGTAAAAACTTTCGATAATATCACATTCTCTTCTAGTATTGTCTCATAGATTCAAAAAAATGTTACAATATACAGGGTGTCGAATTAACAAACTGGAGCCATTTTCGGTGAAGCCGACAGTGACCGGAAAGTGAAAAATATTCCAAGACTCTCCTTTTCACATTCATTTTCATTTTGATACACCGGATATTCTATAATATTACAGAAGAACTATTCCATCTAGGAAAATATTGAAAACAAAATTGAATATCTACCGAAAGTTTTGGAATTTTTTGTATATGGGCTATAAGAACATTATATCTTCAATAAGTTGTTACAAAAGGTATAGATTCATAAAACATCCATAACATTACAGTAATTAATTATCATGAAAGATGAAGAAAGTCCCAACTTGTTTTAGTGGTTTTAGTGAAATGTATAGGTAAACTCATTTGTAAAAATCTGTAATGTGGTGATAATTTGAAAATAACGAATATTTCATGATTCCACCTACAGAGTGGTTCATGAATCAAGAAGAAAAAGGCCCTATAAAATTAAGAAAAATTCAAATGGTGGGTACCTACTGACCTTCATTTTGAACAACGAAACGAACTGAAACACCAATCTTTCTTTCCAGATGACAGTCCACTAGTTGACTATTTAATGACAGTTGAAGAAGTGTGCACTTTATATACCTACAACCGCGAAATCACATCGGTTCTTCTATTTGCTTTTGTTAACGTCAAAACAAGCGAGAACAGAGGTCGACAGGGTGAGTCAACGCCCGTTGATTCCATGATGGAATACCCGAGAATCTCGAACTGGAAGACAAAAAAAACAAGATTAATGATATGGTCAAGGTGAAATAGTTTCATTACGTCAATTATTGCTTTACAAAAGCATCGCATCATTCATCCATAATGTCGGTTTTGACAAACGGCATCGTGACATGGCATAATTTACTAAGATATAGGTATCTCAGAAACCAAAAATATTTTGAAAACTTCCTACCCAGATACGTCAATATAATTTTGCCGAGACGAATCCCCTGAATTATCCACATATTTGCACATATTTGTTTAACCAGGGTATGACATTTTGTTTTCGAAAAGTTTCTATATCTAATCCAAATAAGAGGATCACGACTTCATGAGTACCGTCAAATGAGGTAACTTCGGACATTTTTTTACAGTTTTCCCACCATTACTGTTGGAAAAATCGTTGTTTCTCTTTAAAATGTTTCCTCAATGTAGAACTTCGGACACATATTTTGATTTTTAAACATGTAAAGAACTGATAATGCTAATTTTGAAATTAATTCTGGTTTTGCGATAGTTTGTTATTTTTATAAGATGTTTTGCGAAGCGAAGTTGAAATGGGATAAACAAATAAGTCTAGCACAATCCAGTTTCTTCAAGGAACCAGACAGAAAAAAATGGACATCACAACCACGAGATAATATAAACTGGCGGACAATAGACAGAGGCAGTATTATATTCGGAAAGTTTAGAAGACGCGGAAAAAGTGGTAAGGAAAGTCTTTTTTGTCTGTTTTGTGAAAAATCCCACTTGTCTCAAGATTTTCTCAAAGCTCAAAACCTCTCTTCAGATGAAAGAACTAAAATTGTCACTTATTTTGTTGCCTGGAAATTGTACAAAAAAAACTGCCTCTGAAAAAATGACGAGTCCGTATAGGACGTTATTGTCGCTGGAAAAGTTAGGGCAAACTTTTTTCGCTGTCATAATTACAAAATCACTCGGCTTTTGAGATGTTTCATACATGAATTAAATTGTCAAAGACAAGAAGGGTTATTTAGCTTGTCACAATTAACTTCATATTTCGGAAAAAGTAATCTCGATTTCAGAATTGGTTAGTTCAATTTCAGAAATGGTAAACTCAATTTCAGAATCGGTGAGATGAATTTCAGAAAAAGTCCATTCAATTTCAGAAATGGTAAGTTGTATTTCAGAATTGGTAGGTTCAATATCATAAAAAAATCCTAATATTTGTTCGAAATGTTTCCAATTGCATGTGAGATTAACAAACCGTATTTAAAATATTCAACTTTTCAAAAACAATTTAATCCACAGATGCCTTCCATCTGAATCGCTGGAAGATAGTGGCGTTGCACATGATTATAAGAATGCAAACACATTTGAGGTGTTATCATGTTCATTGAATCATCTGCACATTCTTCAAGACATCGCAGTCTGAATTTTATCTGGTTGAGCAATCTGTTCGGATCTCCAGCTATGACCCTTTGGCGATGCTCTTGCAAGAAGCTCTTCACTTCTGACTTGAGGGCACCCCATATATTATGTTCAATCTGATTCAACATAGGGCTCTCAAACGCCGTTCCATCCACTGTAAACAATCTTCTCTTTTGCAATTAAAAACATTTCAAACATATAGAAGGAATTTCATCTTCTGAAATTGAACCTACCAATAATAATTCTGAAATACAACTTACCATTTCTGAAATTGAATGGACTTTTTCTAAAATTCATCTCACCGATTCTGAAATTGAGTTTACCATTTCTGAAATCGAACTAACCAATCTGAAATCGAGATTACTTTTTCCGAAATATAACTCACCGATTCCGAAATTGAAGTTGAAAAGGTATAGTTTCAAACAATGCAGAGCGCATATATAAAATGTATAATGTGTTCGAGAAAACACTATCCAAAAATGTGTCCAAATGTTGAAATAAATAGAAGTGAAAAATATTACCAGAAAAAAAGAAGCAGAACATAGTTTGACCAATAATTTAATTACTGCAGTATTATTACAAACAATTATCGTGAATATTTATTGGGCGTAAAGAAAGAAGAGTTAGAGCATTGTTGGATTCTGGTTCACAGAGATCTAAGAGTGCAGAAAATATGAAATTCTCAATCTCAACCACGAATTCATAAGTTATTTGAAGTTGTAACAAAAAATTCGATAATTGTTTATTCAGGAAATAGCTTCTAGTCAACAATAATACTAAAATAACATGTAACTTTTAGGATTGCACAATAGTATATTATGTAACAAGTGTTATAACGTCCTTTTAGTAATGAATAATTTAAGCAAGAGCGGAGCAGAGCGGGGCGAGTGTTTAATAAACGAGTATCTAGAAGTGTTTATAAACGTTACATACTATGATTTTTTTACGAACTCCGAAAATTTCATTAACATACCTGCAATTCCTGCTAACCTACAAAATAATTCGCAGTCCATTGCTTACTAATCTTTGTTTCACGTTTATTGTCATGCTTAGCGCAGAATAAATGAATTGTTCTCAAAGATGGATGCTTCATTTTTACACTTCTTGGAGATAATGCAAGTACCAGAACATTCTCTTCGATTTCACTTTCGTCCACTTTTCGCATATATTTTTAATGGAGAATCTGATACAAACGAATATTGTCTGAATAATTCTGACACAAAATTCGAAAATAACAGTTAACAGTTAATACAATTGACAGGTCAGACATGCCTCAAAAAACTGAAGCTGTGTTTAATTAACTGCGTTGCCATGCTAATTTGTTTAAGGAATCATGTTGCCATGGTAACGTGTTTAATATTTTGAATAAATCATTGATCGACAATCCGTGATGATTATTCGATTATTTAGCGTGGTACATATCCGTATACGCTGAATGCCATTTTAGTTATGTGAGTAGAAAAAATATATAAAATATCTCTATATATCTGAACATTACTACAAATAGATAAACGCAATGAGAAACAAAGCAACAAACCACTTGAATTCAATCCTTTTTTTGAATAATATATTTTTTATTTTTATTTCGAATCCAGTATATTCTTAGTATTTTTCATGTCTTGTAGTAGTTCATTGAATCTTGTGAGTGCTGCGTGAGTTAATCTCTTTTGGCCCATTTCAACAAGTTATGTTGTCTTGGTATATAATTGTGAATTCCCAAATTCCTAGTAGAAATAAAATCATATATTTCCAATTGGAATCAACATGTGATATATTTTTGGAATCAGTTCAGCTAGAGTAATCCAAAAATTGAGACAAAATGGGGGTGTTCCATTTGAAAAAAAAGACGGTGACGTCATCACTCGTACGTAATTCATCATAATTAACATCAAAAATCGACTTGTTTCAGGATTATTTCTTAAAATGACCTGTTTAGCTATAAAAATGAATTTGTTCCATACTTTACGGACACACTGTATATAAAGTCTTTATATGTCTCCTAACGCTTTCTGCAAGAAAAATATGGAGATTTCAAAGCAATCGCTAATAATTCAAATCGTTATCCTCAGATTGTATTTTCCAAAATGGACTATGAAACCATCAGCACAAATGAGAAGACGAATTATAGAACCTTGTTGAATTTGAGAGGAGCTCTTTTCTCAACAACAACCATCATTTTGATATGTTGGTACCTCAACTTTCTATGGAGAAGGAGAAAACTTTACATCTCATCTTGGAGCACACCGGGTCCGCTTGCCTTTCCTTTTGTGGGAAATCTTTATTTGTTTCACGGAGGCATAGAAGGTGAGTGATAATCAAAGGTAATATTAAGGGCTGCGCGATATTGGATTTCACATAACGATAACTTGAAACATATCGATAATTTTGAATTGACTCGACCGTTACTTGATGGAAATTAGGCACAATATCTACATTAAATTACGGTATACCGGATTAAAATGTCAAAATTTTTGAGGTTGATTGATTTTTAATGATTCAAAATGATTGAGTTTCAGTCCTTTATTTGCTACGTGCAGAATTTCGAAATTATCATCAAAACGACGGTTCTCTTCTAATATATGGTTGGCTGGCGTATGTTGAATTTGTTTTCTTTTTCATAAAATTCATCTTATGTTCATGAATGCGCTGATTAAACGTACGACCTGTCTGACCGATATATACCTTGAGACAAGATCCACATTTGAGTTTGTATACCCCTGATTTTTCGAATTCAGAAGTTTTGTCTTTATTATTCTTGATAAGCCGTCCCAACGTGTTATTTGTTCTATATGCCACTTTTAAGTCCTGTTTATGTAGAAATGAGCTAATTTCTCAGTTGATGATCCGAAATAGGTTAAAGTTCTATAAATTTGATTATTATTCTTGAGGGTAGGATCAACTTCTTGAATAGCTTTATGATGAAGTTTTTTAGAAAGAATACCTACTGTCTATCAAATTAACGTTGTATCCATAGACCTATTATATCCGTTGTTGACTGCAATCTGTTTCATGATATTGAGTTCTTTATTGAAATTTACTTCCGAAAGAGGGACATTCACTAGCCTGTGTATCATATTTATTATATGCTGCAATTTTATGTTGATAAGGGTGTGTTGAATTATTATGACATTTGATGCAGATCTCGAGGATTCCTACTGTTCCATAATATAGTAGTATCATCTGCGAATAGAGTGATCTCAGTTATATCAATTTTCGTGAGGTCGTTGATATACAATAAAAAAGTGCAGATTCCAACACAGATCCCTGTGGAACCCCATAATCAATATTTCTCTCTTTGGATAGTACTGTCGTTTTGACCACTTGATTTCTTCCTGATAAATATGATTCGAACCATCTGTATGTCATTCCTTCTGCATCCATACTGATGAAGCTTTCTCAGCAGTATTCCATGACCAACACAGTCGAATGCTTTTGATATGTCACAAAACACCGCCGCGGAAATCTCACCTGCATTTATTTCTGAATAAACTTTATACAAAAGTGAGAATATTGCATCGTGCGTGTTTTTGTTTTTTTGAAAACCAAACTGACGGGTCGTTTTTCAATGACTTTGGCAATAGTTGGAATTATCGAGATCGGCCGAAGATTAGATGGATTATCTATGTCTCCGCCCTTATGCAAAGGGATGATAACAAAAGTTTTCAGAAAATCTGGGAAAGTGCCGGACTGAAATGAAACATTTATATGCGCAACCAACACACAGAGGGCATTCAATAGAAGATTTTCAACAATTTTTAGGTAAATTTCGTCAAAGCCAGTTGAATTGTTTTTTATGTCCTTCAAAATTTCAATCAACTCATGAATGTTGGAATCATATAGAACTAGATTCATTTCAACTCTCAAATGTGCGAGATTGACTAACGGATCATATGGGACAACAATTCCTTCACCAAGACTATGTGCAATGGAACAATAATACTTATTCATTGTATTAGGGCTCAATGGAATGTCATTTATTACTTACCTACGCAATATATTTTCATGCCTGAACAAACCTTGAAAAAAATTCAAAAATGTTATAGCTAGGTATTGTCTAGATATTAAGAAAGCGTCTAGAGATCACACAAATAATATCAATTTATTTTTCTCAATACATTGAAAAAAAATCTATATAGTTATTGATATATCTATATATTTTCCCAGGCCTTGTGATATTCTCTATGATACTTTCAGTAAATGGCTCAATACCGAGTGAGTCAAAGCTGAAATTCAAGTTAATATTTCAAAACATAAATCAACGTTCGAAATTTCAGTTACAGCTGTAGCGCGATGAGAAATAACCCAATCAGCACCAGACATCTTAAAGACGTACATTTTACGACTTACTTACGTCTTTACGTCCAGGGACGTATAAAGTAGGTACGTCTTTAAGATGTAAATCCATGTACATCTTAAAGACGTACACGAATTTACGTCTTTAAGACGTACATTTTAGGTCGTATCCACGTCGTTTCTCCCATGTCGTATAAAAGACGTCTTAAAGACGTACATTCCAGTACGTCAATTCGACTTATAGAACAATAATGTAAGTTATTTTCTGAAGAAAAACAAAATGTCATCTCTTCACGTTTTTTATTTCCAATTGTTCAGTTTTTTCTTATTTTCAACAAAAGTGATGTTTTTGAATTTTTTCGTCCGACATTTTGGAGCCTTATTCGTGTTAGATTCTCGAATTTTTACAAAAAAATCATATTCTCCGACCCCAAAAGTCCTATAGTAATCAATTTTGAATAAAATCGGACTATAATCACAAAACTCGTCCGCCATTTTGAAGCCGACATCTTGGATTTTTCATTTTCGACGAAAGGAATTATAATCTCTGATCCCGAAATCCTTCAGATGCCAATTTTGAATCAGATCAGACCATAATCAGAAAACCATATGCCACATCGTCCGCCATATTGGATCCGCCATTCTGTTTTTTCCATTCAATAATAATATCACAACGAATTGTCACCGGAATAATATTTACTTGCCAAATTTCAAATCAATCGGACGATTTAAAGTGAGTCAAATTTAACTTGCACGTTTTGATTACAAACAGACACAAGGACATGTTAAACTAAGTAAAATCTTGTTATGTGATATAAAGAGAGTAACAGAAGAAGTGAATATGGTATAATCATCGAAGTCAAGCAACAAAGAGCGCTGTTAGTACTTGAATGGGTGACCGCTTGTGTCTACCGTTTGATGAAGTCGTTTATTTCCCTTTTTTTTTTGCTTGTCTGCACTTGTTGCTAACTTCAGTGCACAAGTGAACTTCAACTGAAACTATGTGATTTTTCCGTAATTTGAAAGATCAATTTGAGGTCATGGACCAAAAACACCTAAAAAAGACGTCTTAAAGACGTACATATCAGTGGAAAATGTACGTTTTAAAGACGTCTTAAAGACGTCTCTTGGGCGTAATATGTACGTCTTTGAGACGTACTTATGTCCCGACATGTACGTCTTAAAGACGCCTTTAAGACGTACTTTGGCTGATTGGAAATAGTCATGAGTCGTTGCATATTGCATATTTTTCCTATCTTGGCTCTTCTCTCTGTCGATATACATTAGATCCATCATTTTTTATCATTTTCACATCTAACATTCCAATTATAGGAAAACTTTTCAATGATTTTCAATGACTCATTACTGAAGTGTCGAATTAGCTTTTGTATTCGAATAGCTGTAGATAAAGTATCGTATTCTACTCGCCCATAATGACTCGTGAGTGATAGCCATCATTATGCACTCTTTGAATAATATACTATCATTTTTGCAGCACTATTAGGAATGTTTAGCAAACTCGCAATGACATATCCTGACTTATTCAGAATGTGGATGGGACCACATCTAGTTTATTACATATCTAAACCCGAATTCATCCAAAGAATATTATGCAATAATCTGGACAAAGCTAATTGGGTCTACGAATACATGTCTTATATTGCTGGCGATGGACTCCTAGTTCTACCTCGTAAGTTAAATATTATACCAACATCTGTAGATATATTATGTTTCCTGAATATGGAATTAAAAATAAGCATTTTTCTTTAGTTCAGTATTACTAAACAACCACTAAATTCGCAATTTTTTGAAATCAAATCATAGAATCAGACTGACAGAAGTGACATCAGATATTTGATTACTTCAAAAGAATGATAAAGATGCCTACAACACATCAGGTGCCCCTACTGTTAAAAACTTAAAATTTCACGTCGATAATTTTCAGATATCAAAATAATGTAATATCTTCTCAATATTGATTCGTCCTTTCTTCTGTCACAGAAAAAAATAGTGTATTATACAAGGGAAAAATATATATTAGATTTTTTACGGTTTTTTGTCTCCCTCCGCTTGGAGCTAAAATCTACTACTTTTTTCCCTTGTATAATAAATAACTATTCAATAAAAATTGAGATGAAAATAAATTTATTGCTATCGTTCCAAACATTTTGTATGCAACATGTGCAAAAATAATATTCATTGCACTTAACATGAAAGCAAATTTCAACATCTCGATATGCATCAAGCAACAAACATATACGATGTTTGCACTAGAAGTCTTGATACTGCCGTTTCATGTGGGTACATTCATTTTGAACGCAAAATAAGTACTATACTTACTTTCCGACAAAGTAACCCTACTAGATAATATTCGATTAACGCATATACAGCGTGTCTCACTTTCTCACTTCAAACGGCCCCCCTATATATCTCAGCTATTTAGTCGTGCGATTCTTTCATAATTTGGACTGGATGATAAATATATATGATCAGTTCTTCAGAGACGAACATCAACTCAAACAGTGCCGTGCGTTTTTTACTGAAAAACTGACCTCATAATATATATTGTTCTTCTAGGTTTCGAGCGTCCATAATATGTAAATTTTCATAATATTCCGAAAGATTTCAAAAAAACACACATTTTCGCGAAAGTGAAATTATGTTTACTCAGGAACGCTGAGCTCAAGATGAAATAGAATATCTGGTTTTTTCTTTCAAATCATGATTTTCAAATTAAAGAAATATCTGCTCAGTAAACTTTAATTCCATATATACTAATAGTACTTAACATTCACAATTTGATTACTTGTGATGGATTTCAATATTTTCATTTTATATTTCATTATATTTTTTTTTTAGGAAAAACAATAATTGTGCAATTATTATTGTTTCGATTTATTATATATGATTTATATGCATGTTTTGTTGTATATATCCCTATTATAAACAATAATGTTTCTTGTGGTAATAGACAATAAAAAAAAACTACTGGAGCTATTGAATACGAAAGCGTCTAGGGGTCACAAATTTAAAATAATTTTTTTTTCAATTTATTGGCAAAAAAATGCAATATGTTGGAAAAAAAATCCAATATATTGAAAAAAAATCCAATATATTGAAAAAAAATCCAACATATTGGAAAAAAATTCAATATATTGAAAAAAAAATTCAATATATTGCAAAAAAAATCCAATATATTGAAAAATAAATTCAATATGTTGAAAAAAAAATCCAATATATTGAAAAAAAATCCAATGTTGAAAAAAAAAATTCAATATATTGTTTTTTTTCAATATATTGAAAATTTAATCCCAACGGCCAGGAAAGTTCCACGACTATGAAACCCCGCTGACGGTCGAAGTGTGCAAATCTGCCAGCGACAACTCTGTCGGCGACAACACAAAGCAAGGACTGAAAGACTCGAGCGGGGAATTACATAGTGACTAAAAAAATTCAACTACTTTCTAATACCAAAAAATACTATTTTAGAGGCGGGTAAAATAGGAAAATGATGATGAAAAACTACTTCAATCTTTGTGCTTTTTCTCTCCATATCCACTACGATTTATTGCCATGTTATGTATAATATCTGAGATGTAACAATATATATGATTTCTTGAGACGTTAAGTAAATCTCCATTATTGTCCATTTCCGTCGTGGTAATAATATTATCAGTCAAAGCGAGCAGAGCACTACTAATGCACTCTAGCACAACAAGCAGCTTGGCACATTCATCACTCACTACTCACTTTTATATATATATATTGGATTTTTTTTTCAATATATTGGATTTTTTTTCAATATATTAGATTTTTTTTACAATATATTGGAAACATTGCATTTCTTGAATGATTTTATCAACTGAAAATGAAAATATTTGAAATTATCTTGATATGAGAAATAAAAAATTGGCAAGAATGAGATATAGGAAAAACTTGTTCCCAAATTCAAATAGAAAATTACGAGTAGAGAACAAAAAATAACAAAGTTCAGAGATAAGCTCCAAACTTTGTGAGTCTGGTCCGGTATTTAAAATATTAAAAAATTTTCGGATTTCTAATTTAAATGACTTTCTTACTTTGTTATCACCCATAATTCATGCTGCCATACTCAATTACTTTCAAAAAACCCTTTCTACTAGTGCCTTTGTATGAAATATAAAATTGACATAAATCGATGAATGCAAAAAAAATTGATGAGTCCATTATGAGGAATGAGACTCAAGGAAAGAAGCTTAGGCGCCTCCACCATGTCACGATAGAGAGGGTTGGTACTTCTGCCATGTCACTATGAAAAAGATGGTTTCTGTCCATCCATATCGATTCATAAGGAGTAATGCTTGGCTTGATAGTTTGCGAGAGGTAATATTCAAATAGGCACTAAAAGTTTAGGGGTAACTGAAAGTATGAGACTATATTCAAAGATAACAATATGTATTATAGCATGAAACATTATGGGTTGCAATGACAAAATATGAATAAACAACAATGAATATAAAGACCTAATAACAACTTACATTATAACGACCATCATGACGAGCTCTTGTCAAGTCAAGAGTAGCCCCAGACCAGACTAACTTCGGAACCCTCGCATCCAATATTTATATACATCATTTTATTAGATTTGCACGTTTCTCATGAGAGTTCCTTGGTCAGTTTTTATAATTCAATGTCAACGGATGATTTGATTTACTTTATGTTTATAAAACCCTCATGGTTCCAAATTACTAATATACTGTATGTTCTACTCGTGACAATTTGCAGTTGATTTCAATTCACTATTTTTTAGAGGCAGAAAATTAAATACATGACACAAATCCTTTCAATTCGGAATGAGGTAATTTCTTGCATAGGTAGGTTTCACAGCATGAGCAACAATAATAATATAGAATAAGTTTTCTTGCAGAAAATTGCTATTATTTCATGAAAAATCGACGCCTTTTTATCAAAATAAAACGGGACTGTCCAGAAGGATGTTCATCTCTGAAAAATTGATCATATTGATAGTTCAAATTTAGTAAGATGCTGAGATATAGAAGGAGTGCCGTTTAGAGTAAGAGACACTGTATGTACACAATGTAGAATTCTTCACATTCATTTATTTTCAAGTAAATTCATGGAAAAAGCACAAGAAGGCTATAATGCCATCTTTCGGACAGCAAACCTTGAACTCATTCGTCGAAACATTCAATGATAAAGCTGAAATATTGTTCGACCAACTCCAGAAACATGTGGGAAAAATGGATACCGATTTGCATGAGAAGTTATTCAGCTTCAATGTTGATATTGTGTGTGGTAAATACTTCTACTATTTTAGTTGACCGAAATGAAAAATTCTTAATCTTTTTAGAAACTTTGATGGGAGTTGAAGTAAATTTGCAGACAACAGCATCTGAACTTGGAAAAAAACTGAATAGGTGATATATTTATCGTTTCAGTTCAATGACAGCCAGCGTGTTCCAACAAAAACTATCAACCACAACCACACGGTGATTTTTTGTCGAGGTGGTTTAAATCCTATATATCATTGTTAGCAGGGTATTTTTATGCAGTGTGCCCAAGCTAAAACTTGTCAACCCCCTAATCTCCGATGTCGTTAAAAAAATTTAAAATCGCTTGGATAGGTCGATTTCAATTTGGCAGGGGACACATTTTTCTGCAATTATCATATTCTAAAGTTGACATCTTGAAGCGTAACGGGCATCATCTCTCGATCGTCAAATGGAGCACCCTGTATTTCATTGCATTTTTAAATTCTCCCTAAAGAGCTGCTTTCATCAATGTATCACTCTTGGTGTCTAGCGGGAATGATTACAGAGATATAGGGTGTTCAAAATCGAGATTTTTCAACTTTAGGATTTTTTTGGCTCGAAACCATTCATTATCAGTCAGAACGGCTTTCATGTCCCACATAAGAAGGGATCACACTTCGATCCAGAACCTAATGAAGCTAAGTTCATCGACTCACCTTTTCCACAGGGCGTTAGTTAGTTGAGGGTGAAAAAGTAGCTTTTGTTTTTCCCTGTATAATGATCAAGCCGTCAGCTTCTCTCAGGACATAATCACAGATTAACAGGTTTGTTAATCTGTGACATAATATTCAGGCTAACATTCCGAAACATGAATATACGATTTGGTCGAAATTTTACCAGAGTCGGACAAGAATTGAATTAGTTACAGGGCGAACGATTTGGCAAAATTTTTTGGTGGCCGGTTTTTTCTGCCGCGGTGAGTGTATCTTTTTTGATCGCTTGGTGCGCACGAAAGGGAATCTGATGGTATCATTTCCTCAGAAAAGAGTATTACTGATACCAAGCATAGAAAGAAAATATCCAACCCAACAGATCGTTGATCTGATATTTTCTGGTTATAGTTTTCGTTGGGATACTCTGCCTATTATTTATTCTGGATTATATATTTGATTGATTTGATTAGGTTAAATTTTTCAGAATTTTCGAAATTGCAAACATTAAAATATTTAGTATGTGGTACCATATTGATATCTTTTGGAAATTGTCCCCATTGTGTAGAGAAGCCGATTATTTGAAAAATCTGGTTAAGACAAATTTCGTCTTGAGTGTAAGTACGGTAAACAATATATGTTATAATCACCGACATTACAAATTTTTAATTTTCAATCAATCATTATTAGATCTTTCGATTGCAAGAATGTGCACAATATGAATAGTCAATAATATCAAAGAATAACACAGTTTTTTCATATTTTAGACGATCTTTGATAAGATATCTAGATGTCGAGAAAACTCTGGACGTGCAGATGGAACCCAACCGACTCAAGGTATGAAACTAGTGATTATACTTTGATCCTGATTCTCTAAAAAATAATTTCAATATAATTCTATAATCCAATCATTTGAAACGCACAAAAGGAAATTCCTATCCGATGTTAGAGAAATGTCGTCCGTACCTACTAAGGCAAAGATTTTTTTATGTTCTGGTTCCCATGAAAAGAGATATCCTGTAATGTTCAGAGAACATCGTGAGAATCAAGGGAAATAAGGTAGGAATTGGTGTTCTTCATGAATTTCTGGAGGTTATATGCCTCGGGGAACACCACCCTTGGAAATGTGTTCCAGAGCCTCGCTGTTCGTTGGATGAACGAGTCTTTGGAAAGATATATTCTGCAGGTCTTCAAAGTGACCACGAAGGGGTGCGAAGCCTCAACTCGACTGGTTAATCTCGCGGGGACTGCCAAGGGAGGAACAATTATTATTGTTGATATTTCCGAAGAGCATCGTCCATGAAAATATCTATAATAAATTAAAAGTAAAGACAAATTTTTTAATAAAAAGCTTTTATTTGAACGCTCTAAAAAGCAGAAAATAAAATTTTTCTTGATAATTTTAACTATCAACTTATAACCTCATTATACACAATTTATATGATCATAAAATTTTGTACTTGTACTTATTTAATTATGTAAAATCTGCTGAGATGAAATTTTTAAAATCACAATTTAATTAAATATTGATCATCGCGACAAGCTTTTATGATCATATAACTTGTGTATAATGAGGTTATAAGTTGATAGTTAAAATTATCAAGAAAAATGTTATTTTCTTCTTTTTAGAGCATTTAAATAAAAGCTTTCTATTAAAAAGTTTTTTTTACCTCTAATTTATTTTTTAATTTTTAGTTATCGCTAGCTGTATTTTTCGATTTATATACTCTCAACGAGCCTTTTCATTTGATACCCATATTGTCGAAGTATATTGAAAATGACCATTCCGCCATCTTGGATGGTCCGTCATAATGGATTTAGAATGACGTCATATCATTTTCTGAGTTACTCTCATCGAGCCTTTTCATTTGATATCCATATTGTAGAAGTATATTAAAAATAGCTATTCCGCCATCTTGGATGGTCCGCCATATTGAATTAAGAATAACGTCACATTATTTTTCGAATTACTCTCAACGAGCCCTTTCATTTGATACCAATATTGTAGAAGTAGATTAAAAATGACCATTCCGCCATCTTGGATGGTCTGCCATATTCGATTTAGAATGACGTCACATCATTTTTCGAGTTACTCTCAACGAGCCTTCTCATTTGATACCCATATTGTGAAAGTATATCAAAAATAGCTATTCCGCCATCCCGGTTGAAGATTTCTTCTTCAAAATTGAGTTCAAAGATTCCACCTGAACATACATACATACATACATACATACATACAAACATACAATGCAAGTTAAATAAAAGTTTTTAGCTTTTAATAACTTTTAATTAAAATAGAGCCAGATCGACAACTTTTCTACGGTGTTCCAGAGAAGTGAGTAACTTTGTGAGCGAGGCATCACCCACGAGACGAATTGCCCTCTTTTGGACAGAATAATGGAAGAAGGACGTTTCAACAGAAATGTGTGGCTAATAGAATGGTTGCTAGTGACATATTTTTCACAACTTTTTTTTTTTTAATGTATGCAATACTCGAGTAATGATTTTCATGGGTTTTCAACATGTCCTAGAGAATTATCAATTTGTGCTTGCATGTATCGGCGTCACCAATCAAATTTTCATTTTCATTGAAAATTGATGATCTCGAACGATTTTCCAAATTTGTGCAAATTGTTTTTTGTTGAAATTCGAAAAAAATTACGCCGTGTAAAAAAATTGCATTCATCGTGTAAGAAGACCCTGAACTATTACCTGAACATGTGATGAAGACGGGGTATCTTTGAACAATTATTCAACCTATGGTTTTTCGCAGACATATTTTTGGTGTCACTTGTATCACGATAAATTACCTTGCATACAATTGCGACGTGCAAATGCGTTGTGGTAATTTTTTAAAAATGCACCAGCAATAAATCCATGTTGCTGATCCACAATTGTTTTTATCCATCATTCTCCTGATGGTTGAATTTTCCACCCCAGCAGGCGTGAGATAGACCTTTTCTAGGTGATTCGGCCTTCGACGGATCAATATTTTACATGAGCAAAGTATGTTGTTCCGCGGTTTCGGTCGCGTTGTTGCAAAAGCGGCAAGTGTCAGTCTTTGCTATACCAATCTTTTTGAGGTGGTACCTCAGAGGGTAGAGTCCTGTGAGAAAGCCTGTTTTAAGCTTTAGCTCTGGTTTGCTGAGGTCGAGTAGCTCTTTGGCTCGGTTTTGCGGATGGTTGATGAACCTTTTCGCTTGACCTGGAGTTTCAATTTCTTTCAATTTCCTGAGTTCTGCCTTGAGGTGACATCTGCTTGACCTACAGAAAGGCTCAGGACCAAAGAGTGCATATTCTGCAGCTTTCTTTGCAAGGCGATCAGCTCTCTCATTCCCTTTGATTCCTTCATGCTCATGGAAGTAATAGATATTTCTTCAAGATTACCTTACGATGGTTGTATGTTACTGAAGGAATTCTTCATATTTCAAATGATATCCTTATTTGATAGTTTGGCAGTCTCCGCGAGATTAACCCGTCGAGTTGAGGCTTCGCACCCCTTCTTGGTCACTTTGGAGACCTGCAGAACATCTATTTCCAAAAACTCGTTCTACCAACGAACAGTGAGGCTCTGGAACACATTGCCAAGGGCAAAAAAAAGGTGTTCCCCGAGGCATATAACTTCCATAAATTTAAGAAGAACACCAATTTCTACCTTATTTCCCTTGGTTCTAACGATGTTCTCTGGACATTACAGGATATCCCTTTTCGTGGGAACCAGAACACGAAAAAAAATATTATACAAATTATTATGTTCGTAAAGATGATTTCGTGCCTGATTGATCGATTGTCAAATAACATAATCACAATTTGTACTTATATAAGTAATTTTACAAACTGACTGGGACATTCAACGATATCGGTCTTGGTAATTATCCAGGTTGGATGGAGAATATTTCATTTATACTTATACAGGGTGTCCAATAAGTCATGGATCGAAAGAAGTGGAGTGGTGAGGGGGGCATAGGGCATTTCCAATCAAACTTACCTTATAATATGTGGTCATCCAATTGTTGATGGTTCAAAAGTTACTAAATTTTTCTGAGAAACGCGTCCCATTTATAAAAATTGATAACAGAATAGTATATTGTATATCTAGTGCGTCAAGTATACTTTTTTACGCGAGTGTGGAAGTTTGTGGAACGAGCCGCAGGCGAGTTTCACAATCCGCACGAGTGTAAAAAAAGTCTTCACGGACGTGGTGCACACTATACTTTTTCTACGACCTTTTACTTAGAGATCGAATTAAAGGAAAATTTGACTAATTTTCTTTATTATAATAATAATTATTATGAACAGTTATATTGCAATTTTGTGAATTGTCAAAATGTACATTTACTTTGTCTTTCTCTACAAAATTAGTGCTGCTTGTACTGTTGGTATTGACAACATAACTACGGTTATTCTCAGTTGTTGAGATTTTATTGCAGACATCTATCTTTTTAGTTAGGGATTCTTCCACGTAGGCTTCTGCCACTGAGGATGATTTCCAGCAGCCGTGTTTTTTTAGCGTTAGGAGATCTCCTCCACCTTCGACTAATAAAGACACAGATGAACGCCGTAGGCTGTGCCCGGTAAATTCGTTGGGATTGGGGAGTTTCAAAAATGTGGCAACTTCTGAAGGGACTTTTCCTATCTTATTTATACCAATCACTTGCCGAGTACATTTCCCTCGTTGATAATTAATAAAGAATTTATTTTCGGCATAATCCTTGGGACGAAGAGCCACGTATTTGTGATATATGTCCAAGTATTCACTAACAGTAAATTTTCTAGAAACCTTAGTCTTCGTATCATTAACTGACACAATAAGAACTGTTCCCAAATTTTGGATGTCATCCATTTTTAATTTATAGAGCTCATCTCTGCGCAGGGCTCCAGCTACCCCAAACAACAAAATAAGCTAAAAATTTAAAGATTAGTATTTATCGATATTTATACAAATGGACTTACTTTGGTTAATAAATATTTTTCATCGGGTGCCTCTTTGAGAAATTTTAATACGTGTTCCTTTTCCAAAACGCGTGATTTTTTAGGAATGTATCCCTCGTTTTTCCGTTTCAAGAAAGCGCGAACTTTCGGATAATCACCAATTTGTACGTTGCACTTAACACTGAGAGTGCTTTTCAACATTGAGTAGTGACTCCATAAGGTAGAAGATTTAACCTTTGTTGATAATTCAGATAGGTAGGCTAATATTACCCTTTCGGAGAATGATTGCATGTTGTTTGTATTGCGCCATTGCATAAACTTTTCCAAAGTGTTTTCGTAAATTCCCAACGATTTTTGTGGCAATAACGATGAACTTGCTTCACTGGCTGCTAACGTTATATTTGAAGGAGTTGATGGGAGTACTTCAATGCTGTCCATCAGGAATTTGCGTGAAATACACGGCTAATCGGTTTAAATCAAAATTTCGTCGTACTATTTATTAATTCAGAGGGTAATTAATTACTATTTACGGTCTATTAACTGATTTAACTCTGAACTTCACTCTGCGGGAACTGTCATATTTGTCAATGTCTCTCGCCACCGCTACCTAGACCAGCGCAGCGACCGGTGTGTGAATTTGTATTCTCTCACAAAAACACCCAAGAATTGATAAAATCCACGAAAAACACAATGCAAACAAAACTTGTAAACATACGAATCATACACGAAACGAAGAATCTGAACACGAACAGTCACGAACATGGAACGTCAGAAGCGGCAATTTCAAATCGTCCAATAGGGAGACTTGTACTCTATTCCCCCCTTCAGTTACAAAACAAATCGCCCTAGATACATCATCTATTCCTGTATGATCTAAGGTATTGACTCTTATGGCACCGGTGGGTGAAATAAATCCCATAAGAAAAGCATGGCACTTCACACACCGATTCGTGAAATGAAGCTTTACACATTTTTATCGATGTGTGAAGTTAGTAATTCACATACGGGAGTAGAAAAAATTGTTTTGAATATCCCCATATATTATTCCATTTCAGAATCTGTAATAACTGGGCAACTTTTTCTGATAGTAGTCATCTTTGTGGAGTCGTTTTTGAATCTGCCAGCGGCTTTGGAAAACCAAATAAAATATTTCATTTAACACGAAACCTAAGAGAAGCAATATTTTTGTTAATTGATACGAAGTCATAAAAATTGTTTGTTGGGAAAGATGCATTCATGCGGATGAAATCGTAACCACATGATTTTAGAGAGAAATGAAAAATATTGAATAAGTAATCTTTGAACTAACAACAATTGGATGACAAAATATACGGTCGCCCCTACCACCCCACTTCTTCCGATTTATGACTTATGGGACACCCTGTATACAGAGTGTATCATTAATAATTAGAAATATTTCAGCTATAGAATTTTGACCTCAAAATATGAAGATTTAACCCAATTCACCTAGATAAATGTGTCTCCTGTCTCAGTTACAGGGTGTTTTATTTGAGAATTTAAAAATTATGTGTGCCTATTACTTTGAAACTAATCGACGTATCATCGTTATATTTGGTGGGAAGTGTAGATTCTATACACCCTACTGAATTATGTAACATAAACGTTTCTGGCTACTACCAGAGGCATGGGACAGGGGCAAATGACTGGCTAATCCTTTCCAATTCTACGCCACTGGCAGAATTGACATTACATCATAATTTTTCTATTCTCTGATACTTTTCACGTAAATATCATATTCGTTCTTGATAGCGATTAGTCATTATTTAACGAGACACTTATTTCAATAGTTCTAACATGATGAAGCTGCACAATTTTTTGATTTTGATCTGTATTAATTATGTCGATATTTTGGATCAATGTATTGCATTCATTAATCAAATGAAACTTCAAACCATATTAACAAAAAAAAACATGATAACACAAGAGACAGGAGCTGTTACAGGGTGTTAAATTTTTTTGAATAATATAGTAAATAATAAGCTTCGGAATTAATAGTTCAAATATTTCCAATCAGTAATGCAACGATCTGTATATTTATCTATTTGTAGATGAATTCAAGATGAAGCTGCCGTTTTTGGATTGTATGATATATAAAAGCGACCTCACACAAAATGAAATAGAAGATGAAGTTCACACATTTATGGGGGCTGTAAGTTTTTTCATCATGTTTAACCACAACAAATAGTTATTTTTGTATCTAGAGCGCGAAATGTTACTTTGGTGATCGAGATCTGATTTTTTTAACGAGGCGTAGCCGAGTTAAAAAAATAGTCGAGATGATCAAAGCATTTCGCGCTCGAGTTGCAAACAACATTTTTTCTACAAACGTCAAAAAATATAGTTCTAAAGTCAAAATATGCTTTGCTTGATATAAAAAATTGTGTTGAACTGGCTTAAAAGGCCTCCCCTATCCTCCCTAGGTAGGCACGATGTTCCACGAACATAAAATAAATTTCCTTTCGTGCGCTCCAAGAGATAAAACGAAGTTATTGTTGAACATTCAGAAATAAATGATTTTTTGGATGTTTTCTTGATTAAGGACCATTTAGTTGGAATATAAATATCTCATATATTTTCCACTCGATTTTCCATAACAATGCGCAAAGTAGGTACTTCGCGCACTGTTTTACTTCGCACATTGTTTGGTGCAAGATATCATTGTAACATAGGAAACTGAAAAAAAGTGTCACTTCGCAATTTGCTATCAATGCGCGAACCTTGTCATTTTTTGACGTTCGTAGAAAAACGTTGATTTTCTTGAAAACAACGAATCATTTTAGGCAACTGATACGGTATCTTTAACAATATGTAATAGCTTGATGACCATGGGAATATATCAAGATGTACAGGTATGCTCACATATTCATTTTCATGCAAAATTTGTTAATATAGAAGAGTGTTTCATCTCGCTTGAACTATATAAGGATGAGGTAAAACTTTGGTAAGGTGGAGTAACTGTGAATCATAAAGTTTTTTTTCTACTCACATAAATAAAATGGTATTTAGCGTACGGATATGTACCACGCTAAATGATCGATTAATCACAGATTGTCGATTTGTGATTTATTCGAAATATTAAACACGTTACCATGGCAACACGATTTCTTAAACACATTACCATGGCAACGCAGTTCATTAAACACAGCTTCAGTAATTTGAGACATGTCTGGCCTGTCAATTGTATTAACTCTCAACTGTTATTTTCGAATTTTGTATCAGAATTATCAAACAATATTCGTTTGTATCAGAATTCTCCATTGAAAATATATGCGAAAAGTAGACGAAAGTGAAATCGGCGGAGAGAATGTTCTGGTACTTGCATATCTCCAAGAAGTGTAAAAATGAAGCATCCATCTTTGAGAACAATTTATTTATTCTGCTCTAAGCGTGACAATGAACGTGAAACAAAGGTTAGTAAGCAATGGACTGGACACATCTACAACCAATATTACTTATACGTGTCTCGCTGTGGTTGCATGCAGTTGCATGTTTTAGGTATATGTTCTCAATTCCCATTCCTTCCGAATTATTTTGTAGGTTAGCAGGAATTGCAGGTATGTTGATGTAATTTTCGGAGTTCGTAGAAAAATCATAGTATGTAACGCGTTTATAAACTCTTCTAGACACTCGTTTATTAAACACTCGCTCCGCTCTGCTCCGCTCGTGCTTAAAATACTCGTTACTAAAAGGACGTTTATAACACTTGTTACATAATATACGAATTTACAATACGCCTTTAGATGCTACAAGTTTTATGTCACGCATATGAAAACAAAGTTTCTTCCAATAATCTTCTGAAAAATTTGCAGATATATAAGTTGATTCATTTCATGAAACTTGTCACAAGCCGACTACCAAACCAGTTACGATAAGGTTGAGAATTCAGAAAAAAATGATATTCTATTTTGCACCTCACATGGGCATAATTGCTCTCAATGAGAAAATGCAACTGGACAGGCACGTGACTGATTTCTATGCCGCCAATTTAGGATCAATCTTGGAAAGATATAATTCACAAAATTCGTCATTATTCTAATATGACCAAGTTGGGTCAACTTCAGCTATGGAACAACCCACATTTCCAGAAGCAGGATAGGTTGAAAATCACTTCGTAATCGAATCAGAGTTCTGAAAAATTGTATTTCGGCTCACTTTTCATTGAAGCAGTTATAAGGGTAGTTCCATGGCTGCTGGCGAACAGTGCATATTTCAGAATCCTTTCTCAATAATTACGTGAGATCCTAAGATACAGGTCGCAAGTCACCACAATTTCATTACAATTGAGCCAAGAGTTGAAAGAAGTATGAAAAATCATGAACTTAGGTCCACTGATCCAGTTACTCCACCTGACCTCATCCTATTTCAACCATTTTGATGTTGATCAACTCTGAGTTTACAGGAGAAAGTTTATAAAGAGGTTATGGAAATTTGTGGCCCCAACCGCAGAATATCACCTTCTGATTTGAATAAGTTGAAATACACTGAGAGGGTAATCAAAGAGACCTTGCGAATTTTTCCTTCGGTTCCACTGATGGTACGAAATATCGATACAGAACTCAAATTAGGTGAGGAAGAAAACTAGTTCAATATGCATATTACCTATTGCCCTGCGTCATCGAGATAGAATACTATCTGGCTCCTGCCCTGCTGACAATGGGCTTATATCACAAAAAAATTTTATTTCATAATTCGATAGAACTCACCCAAACTAGCTCACCATCGCAAACCGTTTCTTGCTGTGAGCTCCCTACGTTTTATAAAAAATTATTGAAATCCCCGATTTTTTGGACCTCTGAAAACAAGGCGATGATGATGTGACGTCAGAACCCTAATACACGGAGAAAAATAGATAGCAGGTATTACCAGAATTATTGTACAGTTTACCAAAATTTCTGGTACTATATGTGACAGCAATAAAAAATGGTAAGTATTATATGATACAATTATATGAGAGAAATATTGTAGTTACCAACATAAATTATTGTAATACATCTGAGAATATTTTATAGTAATTCAAAGCAAACGTTCATTGTCCATACCAAACATACATTTTTGTAAAAAATACTATACATTATACTTTCTTATGAAATACTGTATATTCATTTCTAATGACTTTATATGTCTATAGAGCGACACATTCTTTTCAAAATTGGAATAATGTTATATTTATGACTATGAGACGGATATTCAATCAATGGAAATATTTGTATTCTTAGTTTGAAGACATGGTATAATAATAATAAGAATAATAATATTAATAATTTATTTTCACAAATAAATGTGTGATAATAACATTATATTATAATGCTTCAACATTGTGTTCAGTCATCTCTAACTCATTCAAAAGAGTTTCCAATTTTACCGAATTCGTAATTTTCACCAACACACACGTTAGACTCAATAGGTACTTCGCACAAAAAAACTTAGGATTATGAATTGAAGATTCAAGAGGTTGTCGCCCAAGCTGTTCCCACTATGACTGCTAATATGCAACTGCAACTGCGCACTGCTCACTCTCACTGCACTGTGCATCGCTTTCGGAGTAGTCTAAAAATAACTCCAGTACCTAAACTAAGAGGAATTGCACCAGGCACGGATCCAGGGGGGCATGCAGGTGTCGCCTAGATGAATATTCATTTTTGAAACTCGTATTTGAAAAATAATTTTCAAATCCCGAAATTCGGATGAATGTCAAAAAAGTATTCAAAAGTTAGATCAATAGGTATCCGCGAATAGGAAATTAACGTGGAATTCTATAAAAGAACCTGAAAAAGTATTTCTACCAGAAATTCGTAAATTTGCATGAATATCACTACCTCAACGTTGAAAACCTACTCCGCAGAAGTCGATAGTTTTGCGGGACTATAAGTGGAGCAAAAATCATCAGGCGATTGCTGGATTCGAAATTCCGTCAAATCGTTTTGATTCCTGCGCTACCTAATATTTTTCTCAATGAAGTTCTCATATTTTCTCAGAAATCAGTTAGGTACACTGATACTTGAAGTATTGAAAAAACTGTATTGTATGTTTGATGTTTTGAATAGATTATAACATACCTTCAAATGAAATGCCACTTGAATTAGCGCGAGATCACATGCAGTTGAAAGAATAAATATATCAGTTAAGATGAGGTTTCTACGTCATAAGAGGGTCCGTTTTCAGAAGGTACTATTATTTATGTCCAAAAATAAAACATTCCAGTTAATTTTTCGATCGAATTATGTCGTCAATCATTATTTATGTATAAAAGGATCATTATAAACATGGTTTGAGTTAAAAGTTCTACTATATAAGGTGTACACGCCCATTGGGGCAAATCTGTTTGTCCACGATGTCTTAGTTGTGGGATCTAGTTCAATGCCTACTCCAATAATATGAATTCTCATCATCATTTTGCCCTTTTCACAATAAATAATTACTGTTGTCGTTTCCCAGGTGCACATACGTTGCCCAAAGGAGCCTCTGCCATATTCTCCATCCGGTTTATTCATATGGATCCCAAATACTGGCCGGATCCTTATAAATTCGATCCTGATCGGTTTTTGCCCGAGAATATGGATAAAAGACATTCATGCTCCTATATACCCTTCTCATATGGACCAAGGAATTGTATAGGTGAGTTCACGATTACTGGCGCATTCAATTTTCTAGATTTTGAGACAAAAATCATTCTTGAAGAAAAACAATAAAAGACACAAAGTCGGTCGCCCACAAAAATTATTCAATATGAAGTGTAACTAGGGAGTCAAACAAGAGTCAAAATTGTAGTTATACTAACCTCAGCAATACATATTGATAACACAATTACTAGCCCAGGTCAAAAACTAAAGTATTATTAAGTAAGTATTTAACAATGAATAAAGAAGGTGAGGGGGGGTTCAAAATATAAGTGAAGACCAACGAAATACATATGTATACTATACTATCATAGTATATATACGATTACATTTTTACGAACCGTGTCGTGTCAGCGGTGAAGGAGTAACATTCCAAGAGACTAATCGACCTTATAGCGAGTAGTGAACTATACTTTATTCACGCCTAAGATTACTCAAGTATTATACTTGGGGTTTTTGCAGTATACAGCCCAGAGAATCTCTGATACAGCCATATATATTATTCCCATGCAGGGAATAATGTCGTGGGAGCAATAGTCCCTAATACTTCTTGCGTTCCATTGATCCGCAAGGGATTAAAGGTGGATTCATGCAAGCAAAATTTAAAACGTAAATGAATTTTAAACTTAAACCAATAATATAAAACTATGAAATGTAATGTAGGTGCTCATGCAAGAAACTAAAAAATTAAAACTAAAATTAAAACTAAGAAAGATGGCCAACATTCAACTAAGAAATTAATTTCTTCCATAATTCACAACTACGCATGCGCCAAATAATAACTAGCCGCGCTGGAAAAAGAATAAACAGCTGATGAAAGGTTATTGCATGATCACCCATATATTTTTAATTTAAAATTCGTTTAAATCTTAAATTCATTATAATTTAGTTGATGTTGCATGAATCCACCTTAAGTTCGAAGAGATGATAATCCAAAGTCATCTCCACAACTTTTTATATGTGTTTGTGGAGATAAAGTTACATTGTACCTCGAAAAATCACGAGAATAATATTTACATTTTTTAACGTAAAAATAGAAGTGTGTATATTATATTACAATTATTATTATTATTATTTACAGGGGGTCGCTTTGCCATGATGGTCTTGTTGACAACCCTAGCGAATCTTATCAGGAAATTCAGATTTTTCTCTGGGTACAAAACGATAGAAGAAATAGATGTGATCCCAACCGTTGTAATCAAGTTGAAATATGGCAACAAAGTTAGGTTGGAGTTGAGATGAAATTGACATCTAAGACTCTAATTATGAAAACGAAGATGAATAAAGGAATACATATAGGTACTGATATATTAAATGAATACATGATTGAATGTGAATTGTAGAATAACAATAAAAGGTATTTTTCAGAAAGGTGGATTTTTCTAGGGAATTCATACAATTCAATAGCAAGAATATTATTTAACGACCACGGAATGATATTCAATTCCCACGAGAATGAAGTTTGCAGGCGAATGCTGAAAATTATACGGGTGGGAAATTAGCATTCCGTGCGAGATATACACTATACTTTTTCTACGATTGTAACATAACAGCAAAATCTCCTATTTCTTCGGCTTGTAGCAATCTGATTCTCTCTTGAGTAATGCTCATCTATTAGACAGAGCTGCCATTGCTTGAAATCTTACATACCTATTCTTACTTCTATTATTCCTATTATTTTTTAGTCTCGGCCCATCAACATATTATAATATTATACCGTTAGATAGTTCAGAAGGACATTATCGCAATGTTATTTCAACAATATGACAAAAATTATATTTGGAAAATATTTTTATTATGTATCATGTTTAGTGGGTACCTTTCAGGCTCATCTCGAGAATTGTGATAGAAAAGATGACAGAAATAATAAAATAAATAATAATAATAATAAATAATATTCATATTTTTATTTTATAGAAACGAGGAGAGAAAAACAGGCTGTGTGAACTCACAGAATTGAAAGGCTAATCGAACCGTGTGACAAAAAATTTTGGTTTTATTTGAGATAACAAAAATATGGGTAATGCCTCTTGGCACACCCTGTATAGCTGGTGGATTGGAAGTATTTCAAGAAGATTGGAAATTTTCTCGTTCCAAATCCGACTACAAGTTGGAAAACTTCTAATGTGTGGCCTACAAAAATCACCCTGTATATACCATGTATCTAGTGCATCATTATTGTGAACAAACAATCTTTAGAAAAAAATGGAAATCAGTTCCAGGGCCCACAAATTCACGATCCGCCCCTGAAGAGACCTATCAGATGGTCTTAGAAATTGATTCTAATTTAGCATATCATGGCCTTCTGTGATGAAACTAACATCAAAAAATCTGGGAAATAAGGCATGATTTTATCGTAAACTGATTGCATATTCTATCTGCAACTTGCAAATACTTGAATAAGGAGTTTCATCAGGTATGTACGATGTACGTACATACAGGGTAGGTCCAGTTGTGAACATTAAGTGGAGTCCAATTTTCCAAAGTAGATAGGTGACGACTGGCTAACAATGTGCATTTTAATTTGTGACGCCTACTCTTCACATGCAAGTCATAATTTACGATAAAATCAGGTAGAAAAATCATATACCTAATAATTATTCACGATGACGAGACAAGAAATCTGACTGCTATAGTCATTTCAAACAGTCAATCAGTTTTTCGAATATGAAAAAAACGATGATCAATATAAACACTCATGTTCGTTTATTGTTGAAAGATATCCAATGAACATGTTTGGACGACCACAATGGTAACCACTAATTGACATAATGTTGATCGACTGTGGCATAATCATAATTGAGATAGGTTACTCAGGGTCGTATCTACTATACCTATCAGATTATCATATGAAGGTAATAGTGAGATATATACATGTTCTTGGTCAATTCATTTGCATTTTTGTCTTGATAATATCGCTAAGTTCTATATGATCCACAGAGAAAGCATAGTTTTTCTGTTAGCAAGCGGCGATTTAGTTTACAGCTGTCAACTGTCATTTGCTTCGAATAGGTGTTCGAGGTCGACGAAAAACTGTCTATTATCTCTTCTCTTCAATTCAAATTAATAGATAATAGTCAAGACTATTACAGCATATGTCAAGACGTTATTGATAAATACGTATACTAGATTCAGTCCGATTCCTGCAAATCTCGGATGAGAACAGTCAATTCGGATTGATTATAACGGAGGTGGCTATGTCATTATTGACTGGTAGTTCATAAAATGACGAAAACTATCTTGGTAGTAAAAACACACACTAGTGGAGGAAAGAATATAATATAATTCAGAAGGCGGCTTATTACTATCGCAATATATGTTATCGTCAAATAAGATATTTCTATTCCTTATGCCACTATTCAAACAATTTCAAATCCTTACACTTCCCTGTCTGTATATTTTCCAGTTGATAATGTATATAAAAGAAAATGAAACAGAATTTCAAAAAAATCTTGACGTGCATCCATATTTCACGAGGAATAATGAAGCTATCCACCAACACTACTCTAGACTTGGAGTTTGCGAAAATTCGCTGAAATAGTGTTTTAATAAAATAAGAAGTTTTGTGGATACAAGTAGCACAATAACTATTTTCAAGAAGAACTTGCATACTTTCTTATGTTATAAACAGTTCTATGGAATTGATGAATTCCTCAATTCATAATTTGACTATTCTATTCTATAAAATCTTTTAACATTATTGAAAATCGATGATGAATAATCTATTTCTATAGTTATTTCATTCCAAAGTTTTTAGATGCTAGGTTTTAGAGTATTTGACTCCCATTATTTGTATTTTATGCTTTTATTTGTATACTTCTGAATGTTTTTGTTTCTGTTTTTGACTAGTCCAATAAGTTTTACATGTATATACTATTCTGTAGGTGTATGTAAAATTTCAGTGATGAATAAATTCTATTCTATTTTATTCTATTCTATTCTATTCTATTCTATTCTATTCTATTCTATTCTATTCTATTCTATTCTGGGAGGGGGGTAATTATGCTCTCTATACCCCCCTTGGATGCGCGCCTGCTTCATCCGGTATTTATTTACTGTGATTTGATCGTTTCTATATAGTCATATTGATATGATTTATGCTAATTTTAATACTTGATGATATAATTCTCAGAGTATCAATAACCATTTAACCATAGACCGAAGAAATAGGACCACACCAAAAAAGTCTCTTAACATATGAATAGTTAATTAATTACACAGATTATATACCATATATCCTATCGTAAATTATTGAATTACTGGCAAGCAAAAAGAAGAAAAATGATTTAAAAGTCAGATTGTGAAGGATAAAATAATTCTGTCTATGTATAAATACAAGCTTCGTATAAGTTTCAAGACCAGTACAATATATATTTTTTTGTATCATCATCAACATTCCGAAATGATGAAGGTAAGAAACGTTGTTATTGTCAACAAGATTTTAATACCTTCATGCATGTTTAATTCATTTTATAGTTGGATTCTAGCCATCCCTCTATAAGTGATTCAAACCTGATTCACGAAGGAATCATAATATAGCACCAATAAAAAGTTGGTCAACTTATTTTCTCTCTGTAGGTTAATCGAGGAGATGGTACATTCATTATTCCAGATTTTTTGGGATTTTCTCTCCTCGTTTCTATAAAATGAAAATATTAATATTATTTCAATATACGTGTAGTATCGATAAATCAGATGATTTGCCCCAAAATGTCACTGCGTTTGAAGAATTTTCCTATCAGAGAGCCTAAAAGAAAAATTCACTAGCTTGTCAGTGACAATTTGTATTGAAAAAAGTTTTGAGAAGAGAAATAAAGGTATATAGAAAAAATATCAATTTTCTACTCAGCTTTCAACATGAAAAATGGATTATTTGTATCGCAAATTCGTATTTGTTCTGTCACTTTTCAGTCCTCAGTGACAATTGGTGACGTTGGCAATCGAATGAGTTACAGGATGTTTTCATTAAAAGTGTCAGGACAAATACGAATTTGCGAAACAAAAAATCCATTTTTTATGTTGAAAACGGGAGCAAATTCGTTCCCGAAAATTTGATATTTTTTCCATATACCTTCATTCCTCTTCTCCAAACTTTTTTCAATACAAATTGTCACTGACAAGCCAGTGAATTTTTCTTTTAGGCTCTCTGATAGGAAAATTCTTTAATCGCAGTGACATTTTGGAGCAAATCATCTGATTTGTCCTTACTACACGTATATTGAAATAATATTAATATCTTTATTTTATTGGAACGAGGAGAGAAAATCCCAAAAAATCTGTTCAACCGGAACTTTCAGTAATACATTTTTGGAAAAATAATAAGCTTATCAGATTTTTCAGTACCATTTGCATTCATCATCTGAACAAGGCGCTGCAAAATTTAAAATATACAACGATTCTCAAATGATAGTTTTCGTGCATGATTTGATGGAATAGTAAATAGGAATATAAGGTCCCCAAGTGGTTAATTTTAGATAGACAGGGTTTTGTATATTACATTTTTTTCACCACTAGCAATATATTTCAATCATTATAGTTCTGTGACACTGAAATGTGGACCTATGTCACTATGAAATCACTTCCTCTCAATTCCAATTAAAATCTATTCACCATGTGCATTATTGATTTGAGAATCAGCATCCCCAAAAACCACCCAATTCATAATTTCAAAATCTCAAGAAAAATTCAAAATCCCGATTTTCATGACTACGCCCCAAAATCTCAGTTATCAATAATGCGATTTTCTCGAAACAGTGATGTTGATTGTATGTTATTTTTTCAACATACAATCGCATCGTTGATAACTGAGATTTAAGGGCAGTGTTGTCATAAAAAGCGGGATTTTGAAATACTTTATTTTAGCTCTTGGTATCTTGAAAATATGAATTGGGGGTTTTTGGGGATGCTGGTTATGAATCTGATGAAAAAAGTTATTCAAAATGAGTCCTTATGTCCTTTTCCCAAATAAAGGCTTTTTTTGTACCCCTCAACATCGCACGCCAATGGTGAATGAAACTGTTCATTCTGCTAAATACTTCCTCTTATTCTAACATACAATCACTACAAAAATTTCAAGAGAATTCATCATCATAAACGAGTAGGTGGTATGAAGAAGCACCAAAATGAGTTTGTTATTCATCTCGAAAACTAAGGAAAATTATAAGAAAACTGCAGTTAGAAATAAGTGAGATCATTGATTTTGTTATTCTTGGAAATATCAAAATGTGGTCAGTGCCGCGTAC